TAAGGAGGGAATCAACCTCATATTCGAGCACCTCTTTCTATAAATTCAGCGCGATCGCGAACAAAGTCGAAACTAGAGATATCCAGTTCGGGGCAGACTCCGCGTACTGATCTGAACCAATAGCGATCTGATTCGTACCGATCGTATCCGACGTCAGCCTTGTCGAATCGAGACTTTCCAACGATCAATCGGATCACAGTTGCGAACGAGCTGTCCACGTTTCGATGCGAGATTTTTACCGGTAGTAAAGTCGAGAAACTGACCGACGTAACGGAAAGGAGAAACACAGTCAAAGAAAATAAAGAAACAACACATTCACCCAAAAATGAACGTTGCTGGAGGTTGAGCCGAGGAGGAAGCGATCGATTAACATCAAAAATTTACACGAATGGGCGATGAAAAAATCGGTGACTGGTCGAGCGTTCGCTTATTCAGATTGCACATATTCATGAAAGAGCGAGTGAAAACTCGAAAGAAAGATTTCCAAGAGGCAGCCCACGAGTCTCTTTCTCTACGAGGAAAGGAAATTCGTTTGTTTTTTTTTTTTTTTTTTTTTTTCTTTTCTTTTTGTTTCGGAACGTTGATAGAGCTTGAGCTTTGATAAGGAAGTAGTCGAGATGACAAAGGGTTGTGCCAGTTGGAAGTTGAGGAGTTGCTGGGCCATCAGATCGACGGAAAAATTTCACGGCGATGCCTCGGCTTACCTTCTGGAGCACGAAGTAACGGTCAGCGGTGGTCCACTGCAGATGGAAGTCGTGGCTAAGTTTATTCATTCTATTTCGGAATCCAGAGCGAGAAGAGGTAGTCCCATGCGCGGCGGGCTAGTCAGCCTGACGATAAGAAAAGGCAGGGATAACAAAAGAATCGATGGCAAAGGGATTTCCAAGCTAATCTTTCGCTTGAAAAGATATCGTACCATGTAAGACATCGTACACGATCAAATCAGTATTATTATTTATTTATTGAACGAACCAATAAGATACAGGTGATGCATGCATGCCAATCACATTCAGAAAAAAGAATCAGAAGCTCCTGAAGTTTCACGTGTGGTGAACGAAGATATCGATCTGTAACTTTTAACACTAAACGTACCGGCATTTTACATATACCTATCTTACCATAAGGGATCAAGTGACCCCTCGCGGTACATAAAATGCAAAGAATATTTTTCTCGGTAAAAAATAAGCTAAGAGAAAAACAAAAAACGAGAAATTGAGTAATCAGATAATATAAGAATTTACAAAAAGTTAGATTAACGAAAGAAACGAATGTACGATTTTAAAGTAAATTTTGGTACGTTTAGTGTTAATGTACTGACGCACATTGCAAATTGAACTATTTATCTTCTCGTCATGGTTTATCAGTTTGACAATCACGTTGGACAAAAACGTAAAGGCAAATGACAGTTAAACAGGCGAAAAGAATTTCCCTGGTTCGCGTGTTATTATTCTCGCGTGTTTATGTAACTATCTCGAGATAGTTGATAAATTAGATGGTTTTCTAGAACAGGAATTAAGTTATATTATTTACACTTTAGCGCAGTTTCGTGGAGAATCGCTCATTATTAATAATGGCACTGGTTCTTCGAACGCTGTTACAGCCCAATGACTTAATATTCGTACAGTAACGATAGATTGCGGTGTCAATTATTACCGTGTTTGCTTTCATTGTGCTTAATGTCGTTAATTCACGTTCTACGCGGACAGCCAATCTTCCATAACGTCTACTTTGTGACAAATTGCGTTGATGAATACAGTAGTATTTCACGAGTATTTAAACCCGAGCCACGTCTATTGGCATAAACATTAGAAACTATTATTGTTCGAATAATTAGAAAAAACTCGAATACAATATATCATGCAGAGACAGAAAAGTGTTAATGGAATTTTCGGATAACGAAACAACCACTTTGGTTATTAAATGGACATTAGGTAAATTGTCAGTTTATTTAAAAATTAAATGCTGATTTGCCTTTTTTTTTTTTTTAATATACGTACACAATTCTAAAATTCTTCCCTAATGGTTGAATATTTCAACGTAAGAAGACATTTTGAGAGAAAAATCTTAATAACTTCTTTTCTCAGTTACGAAAATTATTTATTATAATACTAATATTATAAGTAAATATTTTGCTCAAATAGTACAACTGTGTTGGGTATAGTCGAATAACAAGAGTTCAAATATGAGAGGTTTTAGCGTTAATTGTAATAGAATTACAAGTGGAATTAAAAGTGGATATTCTTATTCTTGCAGATCACCCCAAACTCGCTCTACTATAAGTGGCAGTACTTCTCCGGTAGTAGCACCCTTGGCACTTTCGGTTTCCAATCCGGGTATCGTACCACTGGTTCCTGCCTCCGACGCAACGAAGGAAAATGTGGGAACAGCACCGGCTCTACCATCGCCCGCGGCAATTCTACCGGATCAGTCGTGCATCGAAGCCGAAGTCAGTCTTTCGCAGAAAATTGGCCAGAAATCAATGAGGATCTTAACCCTTTGCACTGAGAACATATGATATGATATTTTCGCGCTGATACGTGAAACACGAACTTTGTATTCAAAAATATTCTCTTTCTTTCTAATATATCGATAGTTTCATGTGATTGATACGTGTAAACATCAGAAGCATTATATTTAGCAGGGAATGAAATATCGAATGTGAAAGCGATATGGACACGGACTTAGATAATTAGCGGTTATCTTGATGTTTTTCAACGAAAAGTTCTTCTTTTATTAGAGCGTGCCTCAGAAATGATGTCTCCGTGGTTATTAATCATTCGGGCAGTTTGAAATGTTACAAAGTATACTCATATTTCTTTAACAATTCACTCGTAATTTTAATCAGTTTATAATGTTGGGATTGCAATGTTCGTTTAACAGTTTTATAATAATAACTTATACAGATTTAAGTATTGAAAATATTTTGGTAAATTATTTCTCGCTTCTGGTTTTTACAAAAGCAATCGTAATTTTAATGATTATAAATTTTTTTCCAATTTTTACACGTACAGAGCTGAAAAAATATTAAAAACCATTCCTGAATGTAAATGGTTAAGATTTCAATTCTTAGATTTTTAATTCGCCTGTATTCTTTACTAATAACTGTAAAACGACGTCTTTAAAGAAAAAAAGAAAAAAAATATTAAAGTTCAACTTACAATATTACAAGCTAATGTAATTTGTTTGATCGTACAGGCACCGTCGTGTTTGGCTCAATTATCACCAGAAGCAAACGCGGCACAGACAACCACATGGCTCCGTGCTGGTCGTTTCAGCGCGTTCGAGTCCACGTTTGCAAGCTTCTCCGCTTCGGATATTTTGCGATTGTCTAGAGACGACTTGATTCAAATCTGCGGCCTGGCCGATGGGATTCGATTGTTCAACGCGCTGCACTCAAAGGCGCCAACCCCAAAACTCACCCTCTATTTCTCGCTGGAAGATAACGGCTCGCTTTGGAGAGTTGCTTACTTAGATAGTCTGACCAGCAGTGCCTTGATAAACAAGTTACTGAACACTTTGAGTCTGCCCCACGATCGACTACATTCTGTACTCTTTCTTGGTCCTCAGGGTATTCATGTGTTAGTTACTGATGAACTGGTAGCGAACATGAAAGACGAGAGCATGTATTTCGTTGAAACCATCAAAGGTAACATGAAAGACGAAAGATGACTTTGAAATTGAGGAGCCTACAGCAATAAGGAGTCAGTCCCAATATTTAACATACGTGACGTTTTGAGATTAATTTACACTTAATTTAAGATAACAAATAAATAAATATACCTATGTAATTAATATGCTTGGTGTGAAAAAGGCAAATTTCAAGTAGTTACTGTTTATGATAAAGGAAACCGTAGAAAAGTAGAAGAAAATATCAAACGCGCTGGTATAGAAAGGTATAAATTTTATATTCAAAGGTTTCAGTTTGATTTAAAAAACACGTTTAAAAAAGTAATTTGATTTTTATTGATTTCAAATGGACTTGAAGTAGAGCCTTTCCTTATTGCAGCATCTCTTCAATTTCTATTTCTAATAAATTAATTTTCTATTAATCTATTAAATGATCTTGTATTACAGATAATGCAAGCGAGCGCTACAAGTTGCTTCTAAAGCCTTCGTCGCGTTCCTAAAAGGTACAATCATTAACAAATTAATTGCAAAAATTAGTAGATCTCCAATATGTGCTAAATTTGCCAAACGTGTCTGTGATTTGATAAAAAAAATTTTTACATAATAGAGCGTAAAAGCAGTCAGAAATGAGGAACTTGCCGATGTGTTCTTTCTTTTGGTTTAAATTACGACTACGGATTTCATGAAAGGATATTTTGCAATAATTTAATCAGTTTATAAAGTTGATGAATTGATTTTGAATTAATTTTCAACGACTATTTTATGCAATCAGGTAGCTTGCTAGACGAAAATATACACTAGAATACTCACTATCGAAGATCGAAGGTGATCGATGCTTTTGACTTTAAACAGACATTATTACAAATTATACATATATACATCAAATTATATATTTTATATATATATATATATATATTACTTTATACAAAAATTTCAATTATCTCAAAGATAATTTACAATTCAGTTAATTTTTCTTTTATTAGAATTTAAGTAAATTGTTTAGTTTGGAAATATGTAAGCGGCGATGATCATTGTGCGACCATACAATTCTCGTGCCACGAACATGTAAAAATTTAGCATGCGAATAATGTTATTGTTATGATTATTCATCAGTGTCGAATGAATTGTTATTTCGAATTTATACATTTTATTCAGAGCGAACGATGTCACTGGTGAATACGATCTCTGCACACAAAATGTAATAATATTTTTATATCGTCATGATATCGAGTAGCCACGAGGCCTAAATGAACGTAGAAAACATTACGCCTGACGAGAAACCATTTTGCTAAGACAAAGATGCAAGAATAGAAAATCAGACCAAAGTTTCTATTTTTCGATATTAAAAGAATATCCTCAGAAAAATATATAAGTGCCTTAATTTTTTTTTTTTTTGTTTCTTTTTTGTTCATAGCAAAATGTTAGAATTAATTTCATAGGGGTTTGACGATTAGGAATAATGACAATTGTTTTGCCACGAAAAATCACGTTTCTCATTACTACTTCGCAGTACAAACTAGAGAACGATCAATCGTTCCCTTGAAGGTAGATCACGGATTTGTAGAACATGGACAACATACCAAGTATTATAATTTACTACCAAATGTTAAATCGTAAGTTAGGAGTCATGAAATGAATCAATTCCAGACTTGATAAATAAATACGAATTCCTGAATGTATATCAATATTATATGGCTACTAACATTTTTCTATGTTTTATGTATACTCGAACGTGCCTTTATACGTGAATTTGAACCAGTAGCGCATCTCAATGCTCAAAGCGTGTGTGTCGTTTTACATCACACGAACGAATCATGTAACGATCGTTTTAGAATCAGTTAACAAATTAAGTTTAGCGAACGAGGCGAAACTATCTTTGTATATTTTACTTGAAATGTTATTGTAAAATGAAATCCAGGGTAGAAGCTTGGTGATCTTCCATCGTAACACACAGATTGGTATTATTACGATTGCATGCTATAATAATTCCATAGAAATTTCGGCGTAAGTCATGTATGTCACAAAACGGCACAATAAATGTCCTTTTTGTTGCCAAAAATACATGACACCCTCTCCTCCCTCCAATAAATGAGCATATTTATTCATAAATATATTATTTTATTTAACAAAATAGAATAAGTCATAAAACGTGTAATTGTTTTTCATCGTATATAAAATACGACAAATCATCCTCAAGACAACGTACCGCTGCAATTTGCCACACGTTGCACATTCGTATTTCTTTCATCGCAGTCCATAACACGATGTCCACGTTATTTCTTTTTCTTCATCTGCTTGTTCTTCTTCTTCTCCTCTCGCTTCGTTTCCCTCTCCGACAGACACTTGAATAATTTGTAGACGAAGAACACTACAATCATAAAAGTACAAATGAAAATCACAAAAAGTAATATAACGTATATAGAATAGAATTAAAGTGGAGTCCTACTCGAAATAGTAGTAATTACGATTTACACGATTCTCTCTAAATAACGATTTATAAAAACGACGTACCAAGAAAGAAAGCTATAAACAGCACAGCGAAAATGAAAACGATGTACGGATGAGAATAAAACAATGTGTAAAACAGTGAAGAGAAGCTCCAACTACTTTCCATTTTCTTTCTAAACATTTCTGTTACTTCATTCATAAATTGCTGCTTTTCTTCATTGTCCAATTCTTGATATCGTTGATATATGCTATGTAACTTTTCCTTAACATTTCCCGGCAAGATATTTGATAATTTCTCCCGTGCACTGTCGGTCAATACACCTTCGTTTTGCAACGAATCCAAAATTTTTTCCATGTTTCAACGACGTAGAATCTTTTACTAGTTAATGTGAATACCGAGCCAATAAATCGTTATAAGTTTGTTAGCGAAAGAAGGTACAGTTGATCGAATAATTGTTGATGAAACAGTGAAAAGTGAAGTGTTTGATTAGATAACAGGTAACACGTTGTGATTATTGTACACGATGCAGAAGTGACGATTTACGATTTGACTGTCTTTGTTATGCAACGTAGCTGATAAAACAAAGATATGTACTGAATCAGCATCAGTTTGTTAAAAGCAATCAGAGGAAACGGAGTCTCTGGTCCCAAGTACCGTATTATTAATAATTTGAAAAGAAATTCCCAATCTAATTCCCATCTAATAAAACTGAATTTCTGTCTAGATTCCTACATTCCTAACAGACTCCTTTCGGATCCAGGAAATATTTACCAAAAATGAAAGCAACTACGCTCAACAAAGACAAGAGGACCACAGTTTGCGTGGTCAGATTATTGCCAGGTATCGATTGATCGCCAGCTTGTGGTAAACCGCCACCCACTCGAATATTTTTCAACAGATCTTCTCTGAGAGATGACTTTTCTTCGTCTGACATGCCACTCATCGAATCGAGCATTTCAAGAAGTTGCTCGGCTGTTGGGATTTCTCCTTCGAAGCCGGGTTCCGCATCCGGAGCAGGTACTGTTGCGTCAGAGCTCGCTTCCGGCACAACACTCGCTGCATCATCTGCGTTTACTAATGCAACTGCCAGAAGACTTGCAAGTATTATCCACATCCTAATTAGAAATTTATTATTCTTTAGTGACCATCCCAAGGCATGAACGTTCCTCTCGGAGATTAGATAATACACGACACTCAAGACCAACAGAGAGGACTGTGATGATCGTCGTATGCTCGTCCATTAAAAGAATTAAAAAATCATCACTTGAAAACATACGTAAGGAGTATCCTGGTTTTACAATTTGATTAATACATTCTTTCTAATAAAAGACTGTTAGCGAGTTGTTAGTCACGATGTTTGAATTGTAATTTACCAGCGTACCTGGAAAGATTTTTTCGCTTCAATCAGAAACTATATTGATGTGAGAACACCTTTAGCCACCACGATTAAATGCTGATTAATACTTGCTGGGGCGTTTCATGGGAAAGAAATGGAAGAAATCTTGAGGGAACCGGTCGCTTCCGAAACAGATGATCGTTTTACGGGAAAGAAGACTCGTGTTTGGCGGGAAGACAGACGATGATCAGATATATGACCGACGATTGGCTGAAGCCGAAGAGGATCCTTATCTTATTGGTAGCCATACGAACGTTAGGCCAACGTGGCCACTTCCAACGTGTTATCTGAGAAGCCACGAAATACTGCTCAACTTTAATGACCTTGCAACGTTGGATTAAAATGCGCTAAACATGCGCATTGCGTTTCTTATAAGATTATAATGGGAAATTATCGTTGGTGGGGATAGAAGTTGTATGTGACTAATTACCAACGACGTTTTCAATATTTTGTAAAATACACTCGTGGATATATATCTCGTTTGAAATTAACTGCGTTCGTCTATTGATCGCTTTTGAAATAAACGGCAAAATTAAAGAAGGTACTCTCAAAACATAACATTACATTAAGATAGTCTTCTCTTTTTCTAAGAGAAGATAAGAGCATTTATATTTTAAAGCATAAATCTATCTCTCCATATTCGTTTTCTATCATCATTTTTCGCCTGACTATCTTCTTCATTATAATTGTAGAAACTTTTTAAATGAGATGTGTTCGTATGAGCAAAAGATCTTTGTTAAAATAAATAACATAAGGAAATGTTCATGCTATCAAAAAACGGAAATATTCCATGAAGTTATATGCCGGAGCACAAGCCCGTGACTATCACGAGATGAACAATTTACGTCCATTACATGAACTCGATACCGTGTTGAGCTAATCACTTAAAGGGTTAAGACAATTGTAAGTTTCAAGCATTTCAATCAATGAAATCGTATATCTATTACGTCCTGACTGGTCGCGTCACGCTATGTTCATAAATCTAAATCACGTGCAACAGTTGCAGGTGTTTGACCTACGTATCTACTTGTGTATATAACGAGATTTCCAACTTGGTGCCACAAACGAATTCTTTTCGTCAGAAGGTGTTATTTGTAACTGCTGTAAGATATTTTATTTCAAGTACGATCAAAGCAATGAAAATAAACCATATGTTGAGGAAAAACCATAATTTCTGGAAAGTGTATTATACCGCGCTTTTTCAGATATGTTCTCTTACCAGCGAGGCCAATCACTATAACAGCAGGTATTGCGAAGACAACATTGCTGAATCCGTGTTCGATCGGGCCGTCGAAACCATCACTAAGATCCACCATTGTGAGACACGAAATTTGTTCAATAAATTTCAAGAACAGGTATATATGATATAATAATAGGCTTCTGAAACAGGTGTCACAATAACGCCATCTAGAAAACGTCTGGTTATTTTAAGGTTAATAAAAACGTGTATTACTGTGGTTTTGTTTCTTCAAAAAAGAATTTTATCTTTTTTGATTTTAGTCTACTGTGATGAAATGAATTCCATACTACACGTATTGTTAATTATATATGTATTAACTACTTATATTGATTTTTAAACTCAGCGCCGGCGCATCAATTTTGATTGCATTTCTTTTGTTATATTTATTATAATTGATAGATAGATCATTGCTTAGAAATAGAAACTTTATATCATAAATAGCAGTAACATATTGAAAGATTATTTTACAAAATTATGAATCTCATTTCTTATAATTTCCCTATTGTTTCTCAAATAATTGTTATTGAATGTAGAATCAATGAATGTAGAATCATGTTCTAACAAAACACGCTTCTAAAAAGTATAAAATTCTTCTAAAAAGTCTTCTTTTTAACGTTGTTCTTTATAAGATCCTTTAAAAATATTTCAAATTTCGCGCTTTAGCGAATTTCAGCACTTGAATCTCGTATTACCATTTCCCATAAGCGTGGCTATGAGAGATGCTGAAAAGATTCATTTCCCGCCGTTTTTGTAATATTGTTAGGCTTAATCGGATTGAGAAATCATTGAAATTTCTTAAGTTAGTGATAAATGAAAGAAATATGTTGAAATTCGCAAAATTATCTGATAAAGCACATGCACCAACAAGAGGATCGGAACATGCTGCTGGATATGATTTAAGAAGGTACATATATTTTTCAAATACAAAGGTTGGGGATGATTTCAAATCATCGAAGTTTTATGTATTGATAAGCATTGTTTTTTTTTTATTAACAGTGCCTATGAATACACCGTGCCTGCACATGGTAAAGAACTCGTCAAAACTGATTTGCAAATTGAAGTTCCTGAGAATACATACGGAAGAATAGCACCACGTTCTGGATTAGCGTGGAAAAATCATATTGATATAGGTGCAGGTGTTATCGATGCCGATTATCGGTGAGTGTTTAAACAGCTAAATTATAAGCTAACAGCCAATTATTTATATATAAATATAAAGTATATATGTTCGTGGATGTTGGAAAGAATTACTATTGAGAATGAAGGGAACGATGAATGATGAATGGATGTACAATTGTATTATTTATATAAAAAGAATTAAAATTTATTTATTTATTTTTTAATACAGAGGAAATGTAGGGATAGTACTATTTAATCACAGTAACGAGGACTTTAAAATCATGCCAGGGGATCGTGTAGCTCAAATAATTTGCGAAAAAATAATATACCCTGAATTGCAAGAGGTGAATAGCTTAGATAAAACAGTAAGAGGAGAAGGAGGATTTGGTTCAACAGGAAAGAACTAAATTAATAAAAAAACATTATCATTTTGTATTGCTCTCTTTAATTATTTAATTTCTCAAATACGAATCTCATATGTATATTTTCTTTTATCTATTCAGTTTATTACTTTAATAAAAAGAATGTGATTTTTGTATATCATTCTATAAAAATACTTTGCCCTATTAACTGAAAATATTTTTGGCACATACCTATTTGTTATTCTGTTCTACATTTTTGCAAGAGTGACTAGATTAGTATGCTGTGTTGGTATTTTCACTAATTTTTGGATATTCTTGAATTCCTTATGTTTTGCATCGGCTAATAATTTAAAAATAACATTCTCTGAAGTAGCTATATGGCATCCTATTTCTCTCATTCTCTATAAAAATCATATAGATTAACTACTATATTAACTTATAGTTTTTTTAAAATTTTGTGAAATTACTTCTAAGGCCAATAATCTGTCTTCTTGGGTACGCGAGGTACAACAATCTGCAACAGTATGTACTTCATAACCGCTTTGTCTTAAGTCAATTGCTGTATTCTCTATGCACACGTGGGCTTCAATTCCAATGAGAATAACTGAATCTGGTTTTTCTCCAGAGCAAATTATAGAAAGTTCCTTGTTTATCTAAAATTTATTTCTAAAA